CTACTACTACTACTACTACCAGCGAGACCACTACCGCCACAAACACCACCACTGACTGCAACCGCGACGGCGGCCACGACCACCGCCACTGCGACTACTCCTTCTGCTGCTGCTTCTTGTACTGCTACTGCTAACTGCTACCTGCCACTGCCACCGCTACTGCTGCTGCCAAGGCCACGACGGCGAAGGCCACGACGACTCTTTTCGACGACAAGACAAACACACGACAACAATGACGACGGACGCACATACCACCACAGCAGCACCACTGTTACGACTACCACAATTGCGTCTTTCCAGTACTATGCGTGGAGAGACGACTCCGAGGACAACGACGAGCGCCTAATCCGATTCTGTACGATGCGCAGCTCCACGAACACTGCTACGGAACGAGTCAAAATAAGAATAACCTTTATCTCTCCCATTCCTATTCTTCGTCACTGTCGTAGTAGGGGCCGCTTGGTCCCAGCGACTGGCCGGTGCTCAGAACGCAGCTGTTGAAAAGCACAGATAGGTGCAAACACCCTCAAGGCTGAAGCATGCTCGCGCTAATGTACGACACACCCGCTGCCCAACATTTTCGTCGGGCAGCTGGAATTTCGACGAGCTGCCAGAGACAGCTAAATGCAAACAATAGGCCGATGCCTGATTGAATCGAAACTTTCGGCTCAGTGTACCATGGCTTCCAAGTCCGAAGCCGTTCACTTTTGCTCATTAGCCCTCGTGCAAATGCCTTGCCCTGTTAAGCACTCGCAGTGTCTCCAGCAGAAACACTCTGGGTGCCAAACTGGGCGAATGGATAGTACAAGCCGTATCTTTGGTGCCGCCAGTCTGCGAATTGCAGGCATCAGCAACACGCCCCTCTCGCTTGCCTTCGCTTCTTGGTCCTGCCGTGCAAGTGGCTGGAAGCCCGAGGTGCAGTCTGCATAATTAGTCTTGTGTAATCTTGTCTACCTCACATCTCGACCAACCCACCGGGTCTTCTGCGTTGGCTTGGTCTTTTCCGCTTTCGGCGCCGGCTGAGGGTCCACGCGACCTGCCGTGGCGCTCGTGGACGGATGCAGAGCCCAAGCGAGTTGAGTGGTCTTATCGAACTACACGGCTGTCTCTAAGCTTGCAGTCTCTCAGCTTCCACACGAAGCAAGCTACCCCACGCCTGTCCTGATGACGAACAACCAAACTAACCTAATGCAGTCGAAAGGACCCGGCCTTCTTGTGCTGCCGCCTCCCGCAACAAAAAAGCATCAGGATGCAAAGTACAAAGGCGAAAACAGCTCGCCTTCTCCTTTGATGCCAAGTTTGGCGGAGCAGGGCTTGGTGATGGCCCCCATCCACCTCAAAGCTACCCTCGCTCCTTTAGCAGCTAACAGACACCGTGTCATGCAGGTCCTTCCGCTGGCAATCTCTGTTGTTCATACACACAAACATGCACATCAGGACCTGTATATACCCGTACGGATCCGTGGGGTATATACTTTGTTCTGCCGAATCGACATGCTCAGGTCATGATTGCAGATCAAACACCTGAGTCGGACTCAAGTCGAACCGGCCCTGTTCATCCTTTTCTTACTCAAGGTGCTCAGCCCTCGCATGAAGACAACCGATGAAGCAGTCAGTACAAACACTTTTAGGTCGGAGGCCACCGGGCAATTCGGCCGTCGGGCTTTGTCCTCCACCTTGGTCGCAGGGCACTTCGAATTGGGCTTCCTCTGCTTGGTACTGCGAGTCCTGGGAAGAAATCCTTGAGGTCTTCCTCATCCCCCGAAAACGAGTGCCCAAGCTATGGCGGCATTGGCTGTGCACGGGAAAAACTATCTGTCGACCCACTGGAAGCCAGTCTGAACTTTGGCGATGACCCAAACGGAAACACCACGCTTAACAGCAACTCTTTGCACTGCTACGGTAATCGCCAGCCACTTGTTCCGAGCGACTCAGGCTTGCCGCATGGGCCGTCGCGTGGGCCGTGGCATCTGTGACAGATGCTCCAGACCATGTTTCTTTGGTTGTCCGGTGTGAAGGTAAAGACTCGTAGCGTATCGACTCTAGACCTCCAGCTTGCAAGGGTGCCAGGCCTGCCACAAAGGAGCCAGTCGGAGGCGGCAGCGAAAACCCTGCAGTTAGGAGGCTTGTAAGGTTTGGGGCGAAGATTGGAGTCAGGATCAACTGGCGACTCCACGCAGCTGCTTCAAGGCCTCAAAATTGCTGGGGACTTCCGGATTCGGTAAGGGCTCAGGGGCCTTAGCATGTTTCGCGCTCACTGTCTGGACCTCAGGCGTTGAAGCTTCAAGGCATCGTGTTTATGCTTCAGGGTTTCGGGTCGAAAGCCCCAGCACCTGCAGGCTCTCACCACGACATGCTTAACCCCAACGCCCGATGATAACATGAAGAGCCACAACAACAAGAACAAGAAGAGTAAACGTGCCAAAAACCCACCTTGAAAGCAGCCTGAGACCGCTACGGAGGCCTTAATGATTAATTAGAATATGATTAGAGTAAGCTTTGGGGGTTTTGGGGGATACTATACAACCATAACTATCCCATGGAACCCTAAAGCTTAATCATTAGTCACTAGTCCTACTGACCATGTAGACTTCAGACCGCGAACCCTAAATTTCCATCACCAGAACCCTGTACGGTATCCTAATAGAACCCTTAAAGGTACCCTAAGCAATCCGTGCCTCCAAAGTTGAAACTCCCTCCAAGGAGGCTCGGGCCTGCAAGTGGTTGGATCGAAGATTCTGAGGGCTTATTCTTCGCAGGATTGGAAGGTTTATCAGGGTTACTATTACGGACTATAGGGTGCCTACTGGCATTGCCATACAGTCTTTCGTGCTTTTATGGGATCATTATGAGATGCTGGGATTTGCTTTTGGATACTAAAGTTGTAAAGGGCGAGTTTGTGGGCTTGCAGGTTTGGTGTTCGGGAGCTCTGGATGTGATCATCCATGGTCTCAGCCCGAGCCTTGGGATGCAAAGCTGTGCGACAGGGCTCATCAAGAAATCGCGACTCAGTGAAGTGGAGCAGCTTGAAGGATCGGAGCATGCACGATGTTTCATACTCAGTATTCAGAATGCCCGGGGATACTTTCAGAGCTTAAGACTAAGTCGGGGGGGGGGCAGTCTTGAGGCATGTGCCGAGGTATGTTCAGACCCCGACGAGCGGAAACACACCGCAAAGGTTAAAAACACTTTGGATCTGCAACACAAATCATTTCCAAACCAAGAATCAGGTCAAGAATCAAGTCAGGGTAGTGCGGCACTAGTAACGAAGATAGCAATCACAAGAGACCATACGCACAAAAACCATACAGTGATGGCTCCTGAAAAGCTCGGCAGCGGAGGGGGGATCGGCGCTGGCGGCATCCTGGAGGCTTTCAGCGGCAGAACTGAGTCAGGGAACCCCGGCCCGTCACTCCATGGCTGCCGATGAAGGCACCCTAACACCGAAAATCACCGAATCACAGCAGCTCAAGAAGGGCCGACATGGGCCGACTACAGTCGCATCCTTGCAAAGCCCCTGCTCTCTGAACTAGGTCACAAAGGTCAAAATTAAGATGCCCAGCACAAACTTAGGATCCAAGGCCACGGTTTTTTTGATGCAGCAGCCCTAGTCTACCCCGGACACCTCGCTGAGCTCAGCGAAGGTGCACCAGGGGCGAAGGGCTCCGCCACGAAACTTCCAATGCTGGGGAAGGCGAACCTTGAGGGAATCAGGAGGTTGAAACAGGAAGGCTTAGGAGTTGGGGGGGGTGGAGGTGGGATGCACAGGAGCGATTCGCAACCTATTGCTCTCGATGGTGCCCTGTGCACGAAGAGGCTGGGCTGTGAAAGATTTGAGCTCTTGTATCTGACGGGCCTTGGTCTTGAATTGAACAGTTCAGTGTGTAAGTGCATACCCGGTCGGCACGGGCAGGGTGAAGGCGAATGGTCCACTATGTATGTGAAAGCAGTAGGCACTGCCTTCAATTCCAGAACTCTCGGATTCGTCTCCCCAGGAACAACGCTGAACCGACAGAATGAATCTCCACGAAGAGATCTGGGTACCAGGCGGATTCAATGACCCGACGCCTCCAAACTCGGGACCGCAAGCTCCACCTCATGCCGGCGAAGGATTTGCGCACAGAGGACGGCCCGGCGGTTGCTTGGAAAACACCGTACACCACAGAAAGGTTTTCGGGGGCGTTGCCGGATGCACTCAATTGGCCTTGATTCGATAAGGCTGCAGCATCTGCTGGGTGGAGGACCATAGGAAACCGCGCCACCTAGCAGCTGCTAAGATCAGAGCCCCGACATGCCGAAGCGTGCCTGTTCAGAACTCCGAGCTCACCCTGCTCAAGCTACTTCTGCCCTGTTAACCTTTTGTTGGGGAGCCGAAGGCCCCACCGGAGTAGGTGTCACCCGTGTTGGGGAGTCCGGAGTACCTGCACCGGGCTCACGCCAGGCGCTTCTGGAACAGAAAACGATTCTCTCATCTTCAGAGCAACGCAGCAAGGTGGAGCCTCGATTGTCCTATGATGCCTTCAGCAGTGGCTTCGGGGGCACGAGAAGCCATTGGCATATCCGTTCGTGTAGGCGGTGTAGCCATTTCGACCACTGCCCGTGCTGGCTGCATAGCCATTACCGTAGGCCCCCAAAGAAGGGCCTGTCATCGCAAGGTCCAAAGCAATGGATTCCCACATGAAGGCTTTCAATCCAGTAATGCGTCCTTGCAGTACAACGAAGGCTCAGCATTAGTCCAGATAAGCGCTACAACTTTTTTAGAAGGAGTCGCAAGGTCGCTTCAAAACTTCGCCAGGCAAGCTTGCGGCAGTTGCGCCGAAGGCGGTATCTGAGCAGGGGGGAACTCGAAACGCCCAGACCCCGCAAGACCTTCCGGCGACTGTAACCGGAGACGACGGCAGGCGAACACAAGCGAACAGGAAACCCTCAGCTCACGCTTGAGGTGTCGAGCTCGTGTAAGAGAAAGAAGTGAGCTTGACAGAAGCCTGGCTCCATGGAGAATTGGAAGAGATCCAAGAGGAAACGCAAGTCAAACACTCCGAAGGAATGTCGCTGCGACAAGTGAACGAATATAAACGACTCAGCCGGAGGAGCTGCAGAGAAATGAATACATCGTGGATGAGAATGCACCCTCGAAGAAGTGAAGCGCCGCCGAGCGCTGCACTTAGCGGACGATCATGCTGAGCGCTCGACAAGATGATCTGGCTGCGTCCCTGTACCAGTCACCTGGATCTTGAGGCAAAGACTCTTGCCGCTGTGGAAGGTCCGCATCCAATCACAACCGTAGGTCCTTTATACTGTGATTCTTTCTGTTGAATCAGTGTGGAGTCACCGGCTGAACCACGAAATCCCGACGACCCTTTGTGCTTCTTCATGCTTGTTCGCGTCCCAGGCCTGTCAAAGGATCCGGCAGCTGTCGGCTCGGAGGCTGCGAATACCTCGAAAATCGACCGGTTTTCTCGGCGGGATTGAAAAGAAGCGATTTGAGGAACATCCGACAGGAACAGGTCCATGGCCGGTAGAGTAAGTATCGTTGCAGCTGATTTGACGACAAGCCTTGACAAGGCTTGCGATTTCGAACTCAAACCATGGACTCGTACAAGCAATGAGCTAGCAAGTTGGCTCGGCCACCAACACCCTCGAAAAAGAAACAACTCGCATGCAGCGGCTTTCGGGGATGCCACATTTTGAACAGAGGCTTCAAGAACAACTCGCGCAAGACGGAGGCAAATATGATCTGTGCTGGAGTCTCCAAAATCCCAATCCCGAATGGTGCATAGATCACGCGGCACCTGTCCAAGATCGGATCACGTGGAAGCGGCTCCTCCGACAACCTGCGACTGGAGAGCTATCTCATCTTCCCCATGTTGACTCCCACCGAACTCTGCTGGCAAGTTCGAAAATCTCAGAGGGATCCCTTTCTTGAACCCTTGCGAGTCCGACACCCGGCAGATGCCCACGAAAATCAGCCTGTCCCGTGGAGCGCTCGGATACGATGTCTGGCCTGGCAAAAGGGTGATTTGATTTGAGGCCGATGCCAAGGAACATCGGCTGCAGGTCCTTTAATTCGTCGTACCGCGTTGTACTGTCTGGCTGGCTTCGGCGATGGTGTTGTGGAAATGGTCAGTCTCAGTTTATATTTGCAATGACTGGGGTAGGTGGATTCCAGTCGAGACACACAACCATCACCAAGTCATGGCGCCATGGCACGTTCAATATCCATGAGGTTGCACGTTGCAGACATGTCAACAGAAGCCCAATAGAATCCTCTGCTTCCAAACCGCTAAGGCCCCTGCGTGCCGGATAAGCCGGGCCACCACCTGGGCCGGCGTGGCGTTTGGGAGCCTAGGGGTCGCTTTGCAGTGCTCTGCAGGAGGGTGTATGGCTGCAACTTTGAGTACTGCGAGGACAGTGAGGCATAATAGCATTTTGTTCAGCTGTTGTTTTTTCTGTCTGAGTTGCGTTCAGAAAGCAGCTGGCAGGAATTCCATGACTTTTGCCGAGGCGTTTGATTTGTGGAGCCGGTGAGGGGAGGGGCCGGCTTCCACTGTCTATTACTGCTAAAATTGGCCTCGCAGACCCCCAAACTGCCCTCAAATGCTGGTAACCTCGAAGAACTTCCGTCCTGCTTCGTCGAGCAGCAGGGCAAAACACGGGAAACAGTCTAAATGTCTGAACTGCTGGGATCCGTTGAGTTCGTGGCTTTCGTGAAATGGCTCTGCGACGAAACTGCCTGCCGACAAAGAGCAGGAGGCATAGGCAAATGACACCTTCCGGACAGTCTTCTTGAAAGCTGTTGGATGTGCAGGTGAAAGACATGTTGCTGTACAACGGCCTGCAGTCGGAAACCCGTAAGGTGAAGATGCCACCTGCCAGCTCCATGAAGCCACAAGAACAAGAAAATGCCGCCTATTGCTTCAACCACCTCCTGCAGCAAATCGCTGAAGAGCCAAGCACGGTGCGGGAGGCACAGGATGTGATGCGCAATGTCCATGCACTAAGCCGACCATGTACTTGAAACTTCAAGTCTTGTCGTAGATTTGGCCCGCGGAGCGATTGTCGCATGAGGCTAAAATCTCTAAGTTGAGGGTCAAGGTGTCCCCGCCCACAGCGCAGGCCGCCGCTGACCTCTTGGGGCTGCAGCTGCTGTGGCTCGGACAGAGCGTGCCCTTCCCAGCGGGGCGATCTTGGAGAGTGGGTGAGGAGGATGTTCCACAAACAAGGGTCAAGTGCAGGGCCGAGAAATGACGGTTGAAGCCAGTGGAAGGGCATCTCGAATAGCGGTGGAGGTTCCTCTACATCGGCATGGGGATTAGATAATGCAACCCGCAATGTCAGAAGCCTGTAGGTTCGTTTCTTCTATGACTACTGACTACTACTTACTACTACTACTACTACTACTACTACTACTACTACTACTACTACTACTAGAATCTTTGTTGTGTCAAACAGTGAAGCAGCTATGCACAAGATCATTGCCTCCTCCAGGAAATGGATAGGCCGAGTAGGGCACCTGCCATGAGCCGCAGAGTGTTAGAGGAGTGTGCCGCTGCTCGAAAGGACTGGCTTAGCCGGTCATCGTGTCCCGGCAATGGCTTGTTATGCAGGCTAAAAAAATGGTCCACCGTCCACCCGCGGAACACCACGGAAGAAACCTCGTCTCGCCCAGTGGGTCGAGTCGGTGCCGGCACCTGACTCATTGGCTTCTGTTTCACCCAGTCTGATTGGAAACATGATGTTGCGAATAGGCTATTGGTGCTGGTCCCCCTTCTGGGTTTTGCATTCCTGTTTTGCTCTCCTGGGATTAAGGGCGGACCACAGGTGGGTCGCCGTGGAAGGCGCACAGAATGTGCACAGGCTATGGCTGCTGCTTATAGGGAGTCTTCGGCAGATAGGTTCGATACCAGCAGGTGCACCAGAACCGCTGTTGCATTGGCAGCTACTAGAAGATACTCGAAGAGAGCATCAAATGTCAGAAGATGTGGGAACAAAGTCTAGTTCAGACTAGTCTAGAAGACGTCACTACAATGAGGATTCGGGTCACGCTACTACTTTGTCCCTACACACTACCCGGGATGCCCTAGCTCTGCTTTTGGGAACCGGATCATCCAACCCTTGTCAGATGCCGCTTGCAGACATGCCTGCTCGCCCGTTCGGGCTGGTGGTTCGGAGCTTCACACGGAGCTTTGCTCTACATGCAAGCACACTGCCCTGTGCGCAGGAGCTGGCTTCACAAGTACTGTAGGGCTCTGTGAGAGCAATCGACAAGTCACACGTACTGCACGGTCCGCGATTCCGAAGGGAACTGTTGCAGAACTGAAGCCTCCGAAGCCATTGCCAGCTCTCCCGATGAGCGAAATCAACAAGAAATTGTGGAAGGACCCGGGCAACCGCTTGACAGAAGTTCGCACTACAGATTTGCAGATGATCGGTTGAAGCTGAAGATAAGACCGGAGACGTTCGCTCCCACAGCCGCTTTGCGCAGAAATGCAATGTCGCTTGCGAATGCTCGCGATGAATTCTCTTCGCGGCTCGGAGAACTACTTAGGATCCACCAAGCCAATGTGGATTTGTGCATCGGGTTCAGGAAAACAGTCAGATGACATGCTAACCGTCGTTTAGCAGTACTTGCCGATTGTTGCTGGGGCCACAAGCCGACCAAACATCGTGCGTTAGATCTACTAGGGCTTTGCTTGGACCACCCTGAAGACATCCGCATTACACAAGACTGAGTTTGACCGCTTAACCCCCACATCCAATTTTAGTTCCGGAGGCTTCGCTTGATTGAGCCTGTGAATAGCGTAAGAAGATGTAAATTGGGCCCTCAGAGATGTTGCCTAAGGGAACCAGCCGCACAGTAGCCGTAGCCTGAATGACACACTTCCATGACAACAACCGACACACCCGGCCCAAGATATTCCACGACATGCGCAGATGCACTGGACTCTGCAGTTCAATCCTCTGAAGACTCTTGAAACCAGGATGAATGAATGATGAAGCAAGTCAATCATGCGTTTACTTCATCTTTGTCTGCTGTCAGTGTGCGCGTTGCCGGAACTCGGTGCACAGACCCTGTCCACTTCGCCAGGCCCTCCAGGAATTTGTCGGTTCAGAAGGTTGCCTGCCTTCGACACCCGGCAGCCCATGCTGCTCTTTGACGGTAGCTGCATGGCCCTCCAACAACACACTGCAACCTGACTTCGTACAACTTAGCATCGCCTGATGGACGCTCAATGTCATCCCCATGAACTTAATCTTCAGTGGGATGGTCATCAAAAAGAACACAATCGAATCGCCATCACCATCACCGGCAAAATCATTACTATCACGATCGTGACAATCATCGACATCAACACCAACAACAGGAGCAACAACAACCGCATAGACGGTAGCATTTACATCCAGCATGCCAACACTAAGAACAATCAGTAGAGTTGTGGTTGCTGACCTTCTGCAACCTGCTCTCCCATCGAGGCACTGCCTGTGTGGAGAAAGGTCTCCCTAGACACCTCAATACACTTAAACTGGAGTGAAAAGTTCTTGCTTCGGATTGCGTCCTTCCATCTTCTTGTCAACCACTGCTGCGACACAAGCATCGCCGTAGACATTGACACACGTCCTGTCGAAAGCAGCTTGCCCCGAGCCAACTGCGCAATTCAGATTTTATTGCTATACTCATGCCTTGGACATGCAGCCCGTGATCGGTGCGGTGCAAGGTCCACAAACTCAGACGGCTGCTGACTTCTTGAAGTGCTCTTCAACTTGGATGTGTCACGCTACCCAGACCACATCACCATCCAAAACCACTGACCGACGGCATGTCGTCTAAGCCCTCCCCACCCCAGCAGGGCTACATGCCAACAGAAACTTTCAGAAACCCACATCGTGATCAGGCATCCAGATTGCGGCCGCCATGTCGGGTAGTTTCGTACCAGCAGTGTTGCCACATCATTGTCAATGAAACGTGCTCGTTTTTTTCTAGACCAGCGTCCTTGCAAGCTTTTCTCAACTCCCCCATCACATGTCTGAAACCGCGGAAGGCAAACATATTCTATCTGCACATATCACTAGCTCCCCTCAGCTCTTTAGATGAATCAAAAGTCGCGCTTCCTAAGGTTCGCGGCAACAGAACAATGTTTGCAGAGAGTGGCTTTGCAGCCTCGACCCAACGAGGCTTATGTTTTCCGGTTCGGCCCCTGCCTCACTCGATCCAGAAGCCAATCCACGGCTGTTATCAAGCCAAACGTCTCTGTGACGGGAATATTCCTTAGAAGCCGGACTTCAACCATACTCTTCAGGATGCATGTTGCGAATCTCGCGGCATGGCAAAGACAACCTCTGGCAGCTGGCACCAATGATAAGACGCATCCAAGAATCAGGGATGTGAGCAAGGTCGTGAGAAGCACCTTCCCACACAGTCTCGCGTGCGGAGGCTGGTTTTCTGCAGATCCTACATCACCATACATAATGACTATATATCCGAAAACTCTGCAATAGCATTCTTCACTGGATTCAAGAGTCGAAAGCCGAAAGCTGCATTGTCGAGACTTGAGATCAACCTCTAAGGCAGAACAACTCGAATGCTATGGACAGCGGGAAAGGCGGCAATTCAGCCCCCTAGTAGCATCAGCCTGCGACATACACAGTTTTGCCCAGGTGCCTTGCTTGTCTACATCAGTGCAACAACCGGCAAAAGGCTTGAACTTGGGGCATCGAGCAGTTACGTGCATTGAGGCAGGCAATGTCTACACAGATTATGTCCGCAGGTTGCAATTTCTGTTTTTCTGATCCCTCACTGAATATCTTGAGGAAGGAAGCGCAGCTGGCACAATCGTCTATCCGAATCAACGAGTGGCACGAACGTAAAAATCTTAGCACCGTCCTCAGAAGCCTAAGCCTTAGAATCAGAACTGAAATTCAACTTTCATCGAGGCTCCAGGCTGCCGCTGGGTACAGGGGCTGAACCCATGGAGCAGAGGGTGGCCATAAGAACCATGGAAGCGTAGTCCTCAGAGGATGCTGCCTACCGCAGTTTTGTGTTTCACATCTGGGCATGTGAGCTCTTAACGATGCCCTTCCTAGCTGGTCATTCTAAGGTTCCCCGGCTGTCAGGGTGATGCCCTGCAGGGCCGCCAGGAAAGACGTGGCACAAATGAGATACCTGGGACGTCGTTGTTGGTATTTCGAGGCCGCTTGCATGCGGGGCGCACAGAGACTTGCGAAATGCTGATGCTTGCTACCAAACTCAAACATGGGGAAGTCGCCTGCCGGACACTACGCTTTGCTCGCGCTGAAAGGCCATCGGCTGGGATTCTCTACTTCAATATCCCGGCTTTTCTTGTCTAGCTGCGCGGTGGTCCCGTCCATGTTTATGGTCGCCCCGAGACTCAGAACGAACTTGGCGATGTGCGGCGACAAGTCGTTCTTGTCCTTGCCAGCTTTTGTCCCCAAGGCATGTCTTGAACGGCTCTGAAGGAGTGAGTGGATGGAAAGTCTCGGCATCTCTATAAGGACACAGCTCGCAGTGTCCGTACGGTGGAAACACGAGGAGAACTATCACGGTGTGCAGAGCCAGCAGCATGAGGTGGGATACCTGCCTTCTGGCTAACTCAGAAATTCTGAATATACAGCTTGATGAAGCAACCGACACAAGACAGCTATCTCTCCAGCAACCGATCTGCCTTTCTGGACAGGATGATGCTACTACAGTGAACATGTCCGTCGGCGCCGTATGGCTGTGGCTCGCTACATGCGAATTATGGAGGATTTGCCTGTGCCCTTTCTCGCACCGAGGGACAATGGCAACGGAGATGCTCAGAGGCAGCGCGGCCGCAGAGGACGAGCTGCCAAGGGCGGTGAGCAACTGCCTCGAAAGAGTGACCGACCGAATCATGGAGCGGGCTGTTCTAGGTTAGGGCGCTACTTTTAGAACTCAGGTTTAGGATAGCCCCATATAGGCGGACGCACGGGCAGCAGCGGTAGTAGTCGGAGTGAGTGGTAGTGGTCGCCACCGCCCAGGAATAATAGATACGCTAGCTTCCCACCCTGTGCCCTGCGCCATGTGACGGCAAGCAGTTCACGAAGAAGCGGATGGGGTTGCGGCCTGAGTGGCGACCAGATCGATTTGGGATTCGCGCCAGGTGGCATCAGTTGACGGTGCCACACGAGATAGTCTTACTCTTACTCTGGTGGAGACGAGTACAAACACAAATAGTCACGTTGCGTGGATACATGTTGCTGCTCTTACTACTGCCGCTACTATTGCCAGTACAACTACTCATACCTACTGCGGCTACTGCTGCTAACCGTCCGGTCAGTCTTATGACGACACTGCTCAGCTACTCTGGTATCACTGTGTCAGCATGAGTATACTTATACTCGCTTCACTTAGTTGCCGGTTTTGGCATTTGTCAAGCCTTGATTGTTCACGACGCGTTCAATTCCATAGGATGACACTATACAAGCTTTTAGCAGATGTACTCTTGTCATCATCAAACGTCGACTGGCTGTGCTTCTGAATCATTGACGGTTGCCAAATTGCTAAACTCACATGCATACGCGTAAGAATCACCAGGCATCCTGTGCCAAAGAGTCCTCAGTCCAAAGCCTTTATTCCGCAAACCGAGCTGGACAGGCTTTAGCAAAGCATGTCTGGTTGCCTAAGCTCGGCTGCCGGCCTGCTCCCAGCGTAAGCAAAAGCGCACAGAAGACAAACATGTGAACACCTGCGCGGTCTTTCCGCTTTTTTCCAGCGGGCTACAAATTCACAGGTTTAGCCCAGCTAGATTTGGAACTGCGAACATGTAGAGAAAGTGAGGCTGAAAGGAAAAGCTTGGTTTACGACGTTTACGACTGCCACCAAAAGATCACAAGAGCTCCACTTGTCGACGCAATGGACGGAAGCCGAGGACCGACTACCTGAGGATAGGGTGGCCAACACACGAGCATCAGTTTAACTAGAGACAAGGTCGCACAGCCTAGGAAGGCGACAACATGATGAACAGCAACGATATTCTCAGTACTCACACAAGAAAAGTCGCACATGCAGAAGCGATCTGCGGAAGCCCTGCCTGCAACACACAGGACGGCCGCCACGAGCCTCAGTTCAATTCGGCCCCAGAGTTGCCGACTCACGCAGCCCTTCCTGTCAGAGAGACTTCATAGCCGCTCACATACCATCGCCTTATCAGGGGGCGGTTAAAGGAATGAGATGAACATTATCACCCAAGGGGACATGTGTTTAAGAAAAGCAATCATCAATCGCCGCCGCCTAGTGGCCAAGTGAAGGGTCGAGTTTAAGAAGAGTGTGGCGGAGAGGGGCGTGGAAGGTGGAGCGGGTCACATACATACAATACAGGGCAGCAACTCCGCTATCTGCATGGCTGTGCACGTGCATGATGTATATATATATATATATAT